AATTTGGCAAATTAAAATATGTACACCACACCATAGACACATATTCAGGTTTTCAATGGGCTACTGCCCTGAGCTCAGAAAAGGCTGATTCAGTAATCACACATTTATTGGAAGTTATGGCCATCATGGGTATACCTGCGCAAATAAAGACAGATAATGGTCCAGCATATGTATCTAAGAAAATGAAACGCTTTTTTGATTATTATAATATAAAACACATTACAGGTATACCAAATAATCCTACAGGTCAGGCAGTTATAGAAAGATCAAATCGTACTATAAAGGATATGCTGAACAAACAGAAAGGGACTGAAAATACCCCCAGAAATAGATTACATAATGCTTTATTAACCTTGAATTTTCTTAACGCTAATGAGAAAGGAACGACAGCAGCAGAAAGACATTGGATAATGGAAAAGTCTGCTGAACTAAATCAACCGATTTATTTCAAAGATGTGCTGACCTCTCAGTGGAAGCCAGGAGATGTGCTACGTTGGGGAAGGGGTTTTGCTCTTGTTTCCACAGGAGAAGAAAAATTGTGGATACCATCAAAATTAATAAAGTTTCGATTTGAAGAGGAGAAACCTCTTGGAAAGGAGAAATGACAACTCATCCACAACGATGATATTCATACAGGTGGTAAGAAAAACATATAGAATGGGGGCAGGGTTCTGTTCTTATCTCCACAGGAAAACACTCATCTTTGAGAAATTCAAGGGACCCTGGAAGTTTGGATACTGACAGATGGAAAAATACCTGCCCAATAGGAAATATCAAGAAAACTGAATGGGTTGTGTAAGTAATATTAAACCATATTTCTAAATTTATAAAGCTGGTTTTGAAGTTGGACTCTGGCTCAGTCCCTCTCCAATTCCAAGCCTGTTAGTAAGAGAAAAACCCAGAGTTTCTGGAGTTTCTGTCTCATGTCAAGAGCCATGATATGGGACAGAAAGAAATATGAGTTTAGAAAACATCTTTGCTTTTCTTCATATCTATCATACTTTTCATTGAATATATCTATCATGTCTTTCATTGAATATATATATATATATATGTCTATATGATTAATGTTTAAGTTTTTCATAATGAACAATGAGTTTTTCCTGAAGTGACATTTGAAGTTTCCAGGAAGAAGATGGGGCCCCATAACAACAACTCCACCTGGTTGATATGACGTCGTGATACTGACAGCGCTACTACAAGACCTGCTTTGGGTACCAGCTGCACAAGACAGTTCCAACTTGGTTAGCTGAAATGGTGCACATCTTATGCAACATTTTGGCCAGACCTGCACGAGAATACTCAGAGACTATTTGCAATCTTAAAAGACATTATCTTGAAATTTAACCATCATTTTACTTTCACAGGATCCCCCAGAAAGAACGTCGCCCCTATGACAGCTGGAAGTAATTCTAGAGAACGACGTCCCCTCTCCCAGTAAAGTTTGCCCTTGGGTTTAGGGACATCATTTAGGGGTTGATTATAATTAGTATATGATTGAGGGTTGGGGGAGGAATTTTATAAGCTCAGGGATCATTTTGAAAAAAAAAAAAAAGAGGGATGATGGGATAATAGACAAATATATTGGTATAGATTCTTGTATATTGATACAAAGTTAAATTATATTGACTATTGTACGCATGCATGTTTCTACCTCTGTTTAAAACATTTTTATATATTGACATATATTGTATTGATATATATATATATATATATTGTATATATTTACCACATTGCAGTGTACATTTCTACCTCTGATTAAGATACTTATATAATATTTGTGTATTGATATATATTTACCTACTGCAATGTATATTTGTACATTGTTTATATTTGGAGGTCATTGCCCTCATTTGTTTCACAGTCGTTTATTGTCTTAGTCTTTAAGTTAGATAGATATTGAGAATTATATAGACTAATTGTCATCTAAGTTTGTCATTTATAATTAGACTAATCAGGTTCTTTAGATATATAGAGATTATACTCAGTATAGATAGATAATCTTCAACCTCTTCAAAGAGCTGTAGAAAATGGCATTTAATCTAACTCAGAGTTTCGTGATAGTGAGACACAATTGCTCCTGGCAACACCGCTCTATTCCCGAGAGAATGTTGAGCACCAAAAACACTCCATCTGGAGCCTTTCTATTTGGCAGAACTGGCCTTTGGGCAAAGAAATGCCCATACCTCAACCACTGACAGAGATACAGAGCGTGCATCAATGGATAAAACAGGACTGTCATATCCTGCCAAGACAGGGTAAGATAGTTTTGAAAAGTTCCTTGCCTTTAATAATGGTATGTCAGTTATGTTAGGCCTTAGCCAAAATTGGTTGACTCAATGTTGCAAACGAGACTTTGGGTGATTGCCCAGGTAGTCAGTTGTCTCTGTCAATTGTTGCACATTTTGGATATATCTCGTTTGTTGAGTAGTGTTTATTCCCTTCTCAGATCTTTGACTGAGTTGAAGATTATATAATTGTAGTTACTCTTTACATTATTTGGACTTCTTGAGATAGAAAGTTTAGCAAAGCTTTTGTTCTCAATATTGTTTGTTGTATTTATTATTTGTTGTTATTGTATGTAGTTGTATTTGGTTTAGTTCTGTCTTATTTAGACAAAAAGGGGAGATGTAGGGATAAGTCCCGCCCCTTAAGGGGCGTGTTCGCCTCGGGCTAATGTCTGCCTATAAATTTGGCGAGCAAGCTCCGAGCTTCTCGCTTCTGCTTTCCTGGTCTCCGCGGGAACGGTGGTTCTGTAAGTCTATTTCTACATTAAAGCTATATATATATATATTTTTACACTCTGTCTGCATTCATTTACGCCGTTACACACCTCAACATTAATTTGTAAGCTGTTGTTTCTGGCTTGAATAATAGGTAATAATTAATTTGTAAATATCAGTATATTAACTATTTCACATACAACAGAGATGGTACTTAATAAGCTTAACCAGCTGGAGCTCACCAGTGAAAACAGGATAAGAGAAGATGGAAAAATCTTCCAATCTTATGAAAGGCTGAGTTCTCACTTTGACAAATTACGGAGAGATGATAGAAAATGTTGGCAATGTGTTTGAAAAGAACTTGTCAGTGAACTAGTACAATAGATTAATTTGCAAAATATCTGTGAATTGCTAAAGTGGCCTTCCATTTTCCCCTTTCCTTTTTTCAGTGAATACAGATAATCTGCAAAAAAAAAAATTAAAAGGCAGAAAGAAATTATGACTTTTCAACCAGTACAAGGTTTTAGTTCTCAGTAATAAGATGGCCTTTGCTATTTGGACAACAGAAAACAAGGTCAATAGTGAAAAAAAGGGAGAAAAGCTTGAAGAAAATATATTGGGTTATTTAAAACAAATGGTTGATTTGATAAACATTTCACAAGCACATTTGTCTTCCTTTTTAGAATCATAGAGTACAGCTGTGAATATTAAATAGTATATAGTATATACTATATATTAGGTATTTCACATCAATCAGGAGTATGGTTGATAAGTATTGGGAAAATTGTCAAAATAATCAAAGTCCAACTCTTGATAAAATTAAGTCCTTAACTCCTTATCAATAGGAAAGAGTAAAGGAAAGGCAATGAAAGAGGAGAATAAAGGTATTGGAAGGAGAAGGGAAGAAAGGGAAAAGGAAATTAGATATATGGAAACAAAGACAGAGACAGAGAATATGATGCCAAGGATTTAAATATTTTAATTTGGATTCAGACACGCGAGAGCTACTAGTTTTTGAGATGGGATAATCTGTTGGTAGGATCAGTTTGGAACAGAATAGAGGATAGAGAAAGTAAAAATGTCCAAATAGTTGTGCCAAATACAGATCTAACTACAGTTGGGAACCCCAATGCCCTATAACAAGTTATTACCACATTGGTGGCTTAAAACAGACTAAATTCCTTGTCTCTCAGATTTGGAGTTTGGTAATCTGAAATCAAAACATTGTCAAGATTACTTCTATCTAGAGATGGTAAGGAAGAATCTGTCCTTTGCCTGTTTTTTAACTTCTACTGATGGCCAGCCATTTTTAGTTGTTTAGTGGTGCTTGGATTGAGTATACATCATGCTATTCTCTAACTCAGCTATTCATGGAAAATGGAAGATTCACCTGTGTCAAATGCTGTTGAAAATATAGAAGCCTGAGAATTACTGATTGATGTTAACAGAGTAATAATTGCTATTAACTTTTGTTTACCACCTATCACAGCTCTGTTGAAGGGAATGAGATAATAAAGGTCAGTTCACATTCTGCTATGTGAACTTTAAAACAATTTATATATTCATATTTGTGTGTATATGTATGTATGTGTGTGCTTATCTGTTTGTGTATTACATACATGCAGGGTTCATAAGGCCAGAGGAGAGTGTTTGCACTTCTGGAGCTGGAGTTTCAGGATGTCTTATGTTGCCTAATGGTGGATGCTTAAATCTGAACCCAGGTCCTCTGCAGGAACCTATACATGCTAATAATCAAACAATACCTGAGAATACAAAAATATGGCATCAAAAAGAACAAACTATGGATACAACCTATATGGGCTTAATTTTTGAGCACCACTAGTTACTAACTATGTACCTGTGCATGGTGTTCGATCCCTTGTTTGAATTTCTTGACTTGTAAAATGAGGACTACAGAAGTCCGCACTTCATAAGGCAATTGTGAAGATTAATATTTGAATAAAGTTTTATATGAGAATGTAGTAAGTGCTTTCTTTATAAAAAGCATCATTATTTCTCATTACTTAAATAAAACATGATTTGAATAAACTTGTCAGACTTTCACTGAGGAAATTGTTATGGCATATTGTTAGTGTATCCTTCACACCAAAATACTATTGCATAATTTTGATTATTAAGGAGCTCAAGAGTTTGTAGGGCATTAGGATGTCTTAACTTGAATATAAGATTGAGGATCTCTGGGAACAGAACTGAGGCCCAAGTTACTTTAACAATGTTTTTATGACTCCACGCTGCCTAATTTTCTTCTCTGTCCAGGAGAATATGTCGTCATGACAACTCACTTTCATCTGAAGAGAAAAATTGGCTACTTTGTCATCCAGACCTACTTGCCATGTATCATGACTGTCATTTTGTCACAAGTGTCTTTCTGGCTTAATAGAGAATCTGTCCCTGCCCGCACAGTCTTTGGTAACTGTTGCCTTATGAATAATGGGGGGTAGAATCACATTCCTAGTCAGAGTAGGGGTAAGAAAAGTGGAGGAATGAACTCCTGCTACAGATACAGGATGTTGTCCAAGCCCAATAGCAGAAAATGCATTGTCAGATGCACCATTCATATCCCTACTCCTTTGTTCAGAATTTGGCTGCTTGAAATCCTAGCAGGAAGAAATTGACTCTTTTGTGAAAACTATGTGAATTTAGTGCAGAGAGTAGAAAAAAAATAAGGGTAGAAAATCAACCTGAAGACAGAGAATTAGATTGGGTTTTAAAGGTAATTTTTTTTTTCATTTTAAAATTTATTTTATGTTTATGGGTGTTTCGCCTATGTGTATGTATGTATGTGCACTGTGTGCATGCCTGGTACCTATGAGGTCAGAAGAGGGTGCCAGATCCACTTAGTACTAGAGCTATAGATAGCTGTGAGCTACCATGTGGGTGATGGGAGCTGAATCCAAGTCCTCTGTAAGAGGAACAAATGTTTTCAAATGCTGAGTTATTTTTCCAACCCCTAGGAACAACTTTCTGTTTACATTTATGACTTATTGCATCTGTTCCAGCCTTTTGAGAGCATGAATTTACTGATGTAGAGGGAGGGGGGCTGCTCATTTTTCCTGGCCACCCAGCCATGAAATAATCACACAGAAACTGTATTATTTAAATCACTACTTGGCCCATTAGCTCTAGCTTCTTATTGGCTAACTCTTACATTTTAATTTTACCCATCTCCATTACTCTGTGTATCGCCACATGACAGTGGCTTACCGGCAAAGTTTTGGCATGTCTGACTCTGGTGGCAGTTCCATGCCATATCTCTCTGCCTTCCTTCTCCCAGCATTCAGTCCAGTTTTCTCTGCCTGCCTAAGTTCTGCCCTATCAACAGGCTAAGGCAGTTTCTTTATTCATTAACCAATAAAAGCAAGACATAGACAGAAGGATCTCCCACACCACACTGATATTCAGTAAAGGCTACATATACACTTTCAATTGTTTCTTGAACAGTATATAGAATAAGAGAAATTTACTTCAATATGAGGCTACTTATATCTAGGAAGAAGTTTGCATACCATTGACCTCTCTTTCCTTAGAGACTTAAGGCATACAAAACATTTTATGTCTGTTTTTTCCACAGCAGGTTTTTGGAGGAAAAAATTAAACCTTTCAGGCTATTGAACCACTGGGGAAACAGAGACTTTGAATCATACAGTAAGATATACTAGATACCCATACAGAAGGCATTTCTACCAATATCGTGAAGTTGTATAGTCTTACATCAATAGTAAATGATGTTTCAGAGAGAAATAGCTGATTGGGTCAGCTGTAACTGGAGAAAGCAGTGGAGAGAGAGAAACAATAAGAAAGGTACAACATTAGTGAAAGTGAAGAGGGAAGTATTACATGGCACAAAATAGTCACGTGGGCTAAAGGTTCACTGCAAAGTTTTGAAAAATATGGGTGGAAGTTATCTGTTAGTTCTGTGCTACACTTTGATGTTAACTGAAATAAAGGAAACATAAGCTTTATAGGTGTGATTAGAAGTGGCCATTATTAGAGGGAAAACATGATAAAATATATGTATAAAAATTATTTTCAATAACAAGTGGCTATTTAGCTGAGTTACTAGTTTTGGTAAAGAAGTAGCTGAATTTTAAAATATAAAAGAGGGTGCTGAGTTTCAACACTGTTAAGGATTATAACTAAATCTGTAGTATACTAAGTAATATCAACCAAAAGTTCATCTCCAAGTGTCTGAGATGTGGAAATATGACAATATATGGTGAAAATGAATCTCCAGATGTGGTGCACTTAAAGACTTCCAGCTGGAGATATTATTCTGCACTGGTCAGATATTTAACTACAGAAGAAAAGCGTTGTGATAAAGGAGGCAGGCCAGATTGGAAGAAGTTCTGTTGTTGCCTTATAGGAAGAAGAAAGGGCTCACTAGCAAAAAAAATGCAATTGGTGTAACTTGAAAAACTGCAAAAGGCAGTAGATTATTATTGTTATACCAGAACCTTCAGAGGAAGTGCAGCTCTGGTCAAGATTGACCTTAACTCATTAAAACTAGTTTCAGGCTTATTGTGTAATCTGTAATTATAGGTTTGTGGTGTTTTAAGCCACTAGATATGTGATAACTTGTTACATCAACCAGAAGAAATTAAGACAAAATATCATTCCCACAAGTCCAATACCATTGAATGGTTGTGACCTCAATATAAGAGAACATTAAGAAATTACACATAGAATAGAGAGATAATGTGAAAGCATTTTGATTTTGGCCTGAGCTATGTGTAAAATGCAAGCTTCCATGAGAATTTATTCTTTTTATAGTTTAAAATGGGCTCATACTAATTCAGAATTCTTATTTTCAGTAACTGCATCATGAGAAAACCTCCAACTTGAAAGGCTAATTTAAAAACTAAATACAAAGATCTAAGGATAGTCAATATCTTCTTGAATAAGAACAGAGTGGAAAGACAGGCCCCATAGGGTTTCAGAATGATTAAAACGCAATAGTCATTAAGGTAGCATTGTTTTGGTGTAAAGAAAAAAGTAAATGAAACACTACAATGAGCTTGGAAGTATTCTCTAGTATATGGAAACTTGATTTACCACAAAGATACCTAATTGGAGAGACAGAATTGAAAGTTATTCATAGACTTAAATACCAAAATTAAAAATATGATGCTCTTGGAATAAAACAGAAAAAACATACAATGTCCATGTATCTTGTGGAATATGTACTTTAACTTTGTAAGACTTGGTCAAACATTTTCCAAAACGGTTGTATCATTTTACATAAACCCCCTAATCTGGATATTCTTCTCTTACATATATAACCAATTGAAATGAATAATGTAATAAAATACATTAAATGAAAGCACTTCCACAAGAATGTTCATATATTTAATTCACAAAAATGCATTGATGACTAGCCACACAGTGATATAATTGTATACATTTCTCCAAAGAGCTCAGATATGAAAGATATGTTGTCTTATTGTAAATGAATTATGTCACAGAAATACAAACCTGTAAGATTATACATGTTGGAGTAATTGGAGACTTTCAAATAGCCCTGATGAATATTTATAAATAAAAGAAATCAATGAGGAAAAACGTAAGAGAAAGACTGGGGGAAGAAGCATATTGGTTATCGTGGAACTTGAAAATATAAATAAATAATAATTTATTTAAACATAGTTAAGTTACCCCTGAATGGTGTGAGCTCATGGCCTCTGGAATAATAGTTAAGGAGCCTCATGGGAACAAGCTAGGCCCTCTGCATGTACGTGACAGTTGTGTAGCTTGCTCTGTGTGTAAGGTTCCTAGCAGTGAGACCAAGACTTGTGCTGACATTTAGCTGCCTTTTGATGAAACTGTGCTCAGTATGTAGAATAAATGAAAAAAAATATTACCTAAATAAAATAAGAAAGATAGATTAAAAAGAAAACACCTAAAAAGACAAAAATGAAATGCACAGAAAGAAATGACATGAGATTCACTGAGAAGGCATAATACAGTAGAATGACAGAAGGGAAAAAAATACAGATAATAGCTAGCCTAAAACTGGCCTTATCTAAAGAAGGATATAAAGTTACAATTAGAAGGAAATCTATAAGCCCTAGCAAGATGAGTTGGAAGAATGCAAATTTGTGATTATTATTATTAGACTTTCCCATGTCCACCAATGCCCAGTAGTGGTGCATGCCTTTAATCCCAGCACTCAGGAGGCAGAGGTAGGTGGATCTCTGAGTTTGAAACTAATCTGATCTACAGAGAGAATTCCAGGATAGCCAGGGCTACACTGAGAAATCCTGACTTGAAAAACCAAAAAAGAAAGAAAGAGAAAAAGAAGAGAAAAATACTGATGGCTGTTCACTAAATGAAAGGAAAAAATCTTAGTAGTAATGTTGAAATTATTAATAAAAATAATAAATAAATGAGTCATAGTAAGTGCATTAAATTATAAATAATGGCAATATCTTATAAGGAAAATACTGTGGTCTAATGTAATCTATGTAAGTTGATATGGAAAAAGAAAAATTATTCCATATATTTTCATTATTATTGAAAAATATCAATTAGCATAAAATTTTCATAAATCAAAGGTACATAGTGACTAGGAATTGTTTATATCTCTTAGAACTGGTAAATGTACAACTATTTTTAATAAACTTGGCAATGTCCTATAAACTTAAACATATTCATACCATATAACCTTGCCGTTTCATCTTTAGGTATTTATGAAGAGAAATGTAAGGATACTTACATAAATACCTAACACAATTTGTTTAGACATTTTATTATGTGTTGAATATTGGAAACATTCAGATGCTCATTTATAAATTAATAGATGAACAAATTAGGTTACACTAAAACTATGGACTCATCCTGAAATCAAGAAAATTACTCTCAAGATATATGAAACACGAATAAACCCAAACTATTACACCAAATGAATGTATCCAGACACAAATGAGCACATACTGGATAATAATGCCATGAAACTGGGTGTGGGGCTGAGAGCAAGAAGGGAATGTAAGATTCATAAACGAATCTTGAGAAGTCATGTTGGTTCCCCTCATCATGCAGTTTAGTAGAACAGACACATCTTAACAAGTAAGTGTACTAGAAGTACTGATAGGAAGCGAGGTCAACCAGTTCTACCTTAGTCTTTAAATAAGAGCTTTCTGAACCAGTCTTAAAATAGAATCACTGTAAGACTGGCTCTCATTTTAAAAGCCAAGACACTCTATGAAGTATATAGAATGCTTAATTGAGAGCCCCCACAACTCTGATCAGCTAAGAACTCTCCATAATGTAACGGGTCTAATTAAGTCTCAAGGGTTAAAGTTAAAAAACTCTCCATTGAGATAAGAATCAGAGCATTTGTGCTACAGTACATTTGCTATAGACATTCTTAGGCAGACCATGCCCTTGCTCATAGCCATGAATGAAATGGTTTATTTCTCACATAAGGCTCTACTTCCTTTTTCTCAATTTAATTTTTCTGAGAACTTCATATATAAGTACCAAGTGTACATCACTCATACACTCCTTTCTTGGTATATTAGGGTTGGTGAGGTTCGAGTCTATTATCAGTTGTTTTGTTTGTAAGTACTAACATTATAGCTTATCCTCGCATTGTTTAAGCCGTATTTTTGCAACTCAGCTCTGCTGCTAAGTTTCTGCAAAGGTCAACCTTTAGGGTCTTTATTGCAAATTCTTATCCAGTCTAGATTTTCATGTATACAGCATATGTGCAAGTAAGGAATTCAAAGGAGCCACACCAGAGAAGAGCTAATAGAGCCAGGGACTCCTTTTGTTGCCTTATTCTTTAGCATCCCACCCCATCAGCATTTCATTCTGTGCCCAACTTGATCCATGCACAGATTTCTCATCCTCCTCAGCTTTTTAACAAGCAGAATGAGATTGTGATCATTTCTCCTTCAAATCTGATTGAGTTTGGGAATTTTAAAGTCCCAGATCATCTGATACTCACAGATGGGAGAAATAAGGCACAGAGGGATTAAAGGAATTACCAAGGTACAAAATGAGTGTCAGCCAAAAAAGTTCTAGTTCTACCAAAGCTTACAAGATATAGCTCAGTTGCGACCTAGAACTGGAAGCAGCTACAGAAACATGTCCCATAGTAGTTTGTTTCCTTATCAGAAGAACATCACAATAACAAGAAGTAGGAACCAGACTGAACTCTGACCTATGCTCTGAATCATGGCCTCAGTTTCAGGCTCCTCAAACGAAAACTACCAGGGCTGAGAGAAAGGTGAGCAAAAGTAGGACATGAGGCAAACATTGATCTCCATCACTCTGGAGATGAAAAGACTTTTCTTGGGTCTCCACAGGCCTATCCTGGAGATGAGGGAGTACATTTTTTCTTCTTGTTGGCTCACAGAAAGAACACTGAGATTCATCAGTAGGCTGATCATTATAGGAAGCTAATTTGGCTCAAAAATATGTCTTTCTAATTTAGAACTCCTCTTACAATAAAACAGGCTACTTATTCTTCAGCATAAATGCTTACTCAGAGGCTAGGGGACAGCAATAGAGGTACCGTACTGAAGAATCTAATTCTTATGGCAGTTAGAATAAAGTGGTTCCTAGGTTGATCTATCTGGCCTTGACATTCTGTACAATTTACTTTAAAAACAGACTATTACTTGAAGCAAAGGAGAAGTATATTTTATTACAGAAAAAATACATCAGGCTACTCCACAGACAACACAAGCTAAGGGGTCTACTGAGTGTGGTGAAACACTTCCTTTCAGGTGGGAAGTTGGTTACCCCATCAAGTACACTGCCAGTGTTTTTCAGTTGCAACTGGCTCTTGACTTTTCTCTCCTCAGGTGTCACCACTGTTCTCACTATGACCACCTTGAGTATCAGTGCCAGAAACTCCTTACCTAAAGTGGCATATGCGACGGCCATGGACTGGTTCATAGCCGTCTGTTATGCCTTTGTGTTTTCTGCACTGATTGAATTTGCTACTGTCAACTACTTCACCAAGCGGAGCTGGGCTTGGGAAGGCAAGAAGGTACCAGAAACCCTGGAGATGAAGGTGAGTTGCAGTAAAGGAAGGGCTGGAAAGCACTTCCTGTGAGATCTGGATTGGGACCAGAAGTGAACAGCCTGTAGCTCGCAGGAACTGAGCAGGGCTATGTGCTACTCACTGGGGTCATCAATCCAATTTTCAACAGGAGTGCTTCTGGCAATCTGGAGTTCAAATAGGAACTATGAAAAGAAGGCTAATAGCATATAGGGTTTATGTCTTGTTGTGCTGAGTCACATATAAATGTGGTGTGCTAGGCTCTGGGGGCATTGATAGAGAGCTACCCAGAAGCTTTGGAGTCTTATCTACATCTGAAGAATAGTCTCCAATACCACTTCTACCCCTCACTCTCTGATTTGCATTCCAGTCAAAATGAAATGAAATGCTCATCCAAGTCTTTGTGTAATTTTTATTCTCTACCTGAAGTGGTTTTTTTTTCTCTTTGGTAAAGACCTACTCATTCTTCCAAACCCAACTAAAACATTACTTTCTCTGTAGAACCTATTAGGAACCTTGAAGACAGATTTGGCTTTCTTGTATGTGAGTATTCTTGATATTAAAATAGTTTAGTTGTATTAAAAGTAATTATTTGCCTCCTTGCTAGGGCCTTGTCTTCATCTTGGCAAAGCAGCTGAATAAGAATGAAAGCTGAAGAAATGTTGGCTAGATAGGTAGATATATAGACAAGATAAACTCACTGGATTAATAGGAATTGCCCATGATTCAGATCAAATATATCATCACTCAATATTTTGAAGAGTTTAGGTATCTAGACCTAAATTAAATTATATAGTATTCTTAAAAGAATTGGAAATATAATCTAAGAATCACCATTCAAAGAATCATACAAAAGAGAAATGGTGTTGAAACCTTTTCAAGCTGGGGTAAAAGAAGTATTTCATAGAACAGAATGTTGAGTTCGCAATCTTAGAAGTAGACTATAATTACTTACTGAAACAGAACTTATTAACTTTGTTGTAAATGAAAAAAACTATATTTCCTCCATCCACTCTACCATAGGACTTTTGCTTATTTTATTGTTATAGTGTCTCTAGTTTTTTTATCTTTATCCTTGCCATACATTGACTCTTCTATATATTGATTTGTCATTTATTAACTAAGAATGTTAACTTCATCTACAAACATAAGAAAATTGGTGTACTTATCCTACTTCACACACTCTTTTCTATTCCTTGTTCAACTTTGTACTAGTGATATTGAAGCCTTGTCAAATTTTATAATATTACTATCACCTTATGCAACCATAGTTCCTGCTGGTATTTAGTCATAGTTTTTACATTTAAATGTGATATTTTCTTAAATATAAATATACATATTTTCCTTTAATTTCTTAGTTATCTCAAAGCTATTGTATAAAAATATTTAAAAGTCTCTTTGGAACCATATTTTCTAATTTATTGCATGGGCAAAATACCCATCAAATGTCTTTGTATTATACTTGTGGTGTTGTTAAGTTTGTAGTTCATATCTTCTTTCTCTAAGACTTTATAGGATTCAATTGCTATTCTCGGTGCTGGCACTGAATACTATCCAGCAATAGAGCCAACTTGCAAATTTCTCATATCATAGAATACTTGATCTTATGGTATAGGCTTCCATATAACTATATGCTTCATTTGTGAAATCTATTTGCTTTACACTACATGGTCTCATAACAAATTTCATTAGTGCTCTGAGAGTTTCATTCAATATGTTTTGAACATTTTCAGTCCCTGTTAGTTCTCAAATCCACCTTCCCTTACTCATCCACCCAATATTTTTGTATCCTGTTTTTTTTTAATATTTTTTTATTGAGAAAAGAAAAAAAAAGTTTCCCCCTCCTCCCAGCCTCCCATTTCCCTCCCCCACCTCCCCCTTCTCCCCCTCCCCCCCACTCCTCTCCCCCTCCCTCTCCAGCCCAAAGAGCAGTCAGGGTTCCCTGCCTGTGGAAAGTCCAAGGTCTTCCCCACTCCGTCCATGTCTAGGAAGGTGAACATCCAAACTGGCTAGGCTCCCACAAAGCCAGAACATGAAGTAGGATCAAAACCCCGTGCCATTGTCCTTGGCTTCTCATCAGCCCTCATTGTTCACCATGTTCAGAGAGTCCAGTTTTATCCCATGTTTTTTCAGTCATAGTCCAGCTGGCCTTGGTGAGCTCCCAATAGATCAGCCCCACTGTCTCAGTGGGTGGGTGCACCCTTCGTGGTCCTGACTTCCTTGCTCATCTTCTCCCTCCTTCTGCTCCTCATTGGGACTTTGGGAGCTCAGTCCAGTGCTCCAGTGTGGGTCTCTGTCTCTATCTCCATCCATCACCAGATGAAGGTTCTATGGTGATATGCAAGATATTATTCAGTATTGCTATAGGATAGGGTAGTTTCAGGTTCCCTATCCTCATCTGCCCAAGGAACTAACTGGGGACATCGCCTTGGGCTCCTGGGAGCCACTCTAGGTTCAAATCTCTTGCCAGCCCTAAGGTGGCTCCCTTAACTAAGAATTGTGCTTCTGTGCTCCCCTGTCCAGCCTTCCTTTATCCCAATCATCCTGTTTCCCCAAGTTCCCCCCATTCTCCCTTCTCACTTTTCTCTCCCCATCTCCCCTTACCCTCAACCCACCCCACCCCCAAGATCCCACTTTCCTCTCTGGCAATTTTGTCTACTTCCCATAGGCAAGAGGATAACTATATGTTTTTCCTTGGGTTCACCTTCTTATTTAGCTTCTTTAGGTTCACTAACCCTTTAAGACCAATTTGTACTGCCAAATACTCTCAGTTGTGTGGTCTTCTTCGAAATAGGAAAGGAAGGAATATTTTCAACTTCTTTTTATGAAGCCACTATTACCTGATGGAGGTGGGTCTTGTATCTATTTGTTGTTTTCATTGGTTAATTAATAAAGAAACTGCTTGGCCCTCTGATAGGGTAGAATTGAGATAGGCGGAATAAATAGAACAGAATGCTGGGAGAAAGAAGCTAAATCAGGAGTCACCATGATTCTCCCACTCCAGACAGATGCAGATTAAGATCTTCCCTGATAAGCCACCTCATGGGCTACACAGATTATTAGAAATGGGTTAGATCAATATAGAAGAGCTAACCAATAAGAGGCTGGAACTAATGGGCCAGGCAATGTTTAAAAGAATACAGTTTCCATATAATTATTTCGGGGCATAAGCTAGCCATGCGGGCGGCCAGATGCCGGGGACAGAGCCCTGCCGCTCTTACCACTACAATTACCCTGATTCTAAAACCAAAGATTCAATCAAAAAAGGAAAACATTTTAGACCAAAAACTCTGGTGAACACTAATACAGGAAAAAACTCAATAAAATACTTAGGTATAGATGGACTTTCGTTGTTCTGTCAGCTCTCAAATAATGATACAGAGACTTTTATTAACTATAAATCTTGACTTTAGCTTAGGCTTATTCTTGACTAGCTATTAAAGCTAAATTAACCCATTTATATTAATGTGTGTTCTGCCATGTGGCTCATTACCTCTCCTCAGTACTGCATGTATGATGTTTTGCTGGCAAATTTTCCACATCTTCGATTCTTCCCCCAAGTATCTCTTTCTTCCCAGAAGTCCCGCCTATCTTCTCCAGTCTGACTATTTAACTATTTATTAAACCAATTACAAGGTACCTTAGATGGATAAAGTAAAACAGAGACACATCTTCACAGTGTAAAAATGATTAATTATCCCACAAAATTTCTCCCCTTTCATCTAAAGAAGAAGGAAAGATTTTAACTCTAACACAGTAAAATTATATACAATAAGAACAGTTATTAAGTAGGAATTACGATGTCCAGTCCATTTGTATTTGGCAACTCTGAAGTGTTTAAAGACTATGTATCTATCTAAAATACATGAGGCTAAGTAAAGCTTATTTATGTCTACATCTAAACCCTCCCTACAAGTTTGATTATTATATTGATTATTCTAAAATGTTTATAATAATAACTTTCAAGGACTAGAACTTTATACTACAATTTTCAATGAATTGCATAGGTACAATACTTACAGTATGTTGTAACAAAAACAACCTTAAATTTTTATCAATATAAAAAATCCATACCAATGTAAAATATTCGAGACTAGTAGTAGCTTTTTAGTTTAAAAGTAGGTTCAATAAATTACCCTTTTATCCAATCATTTCTATATCCCCCCTTTTCACTAGATAGGAGAGAAAGAAGCATAGAGGAAAGAAAAAGAAAGAAATACCTTAATCAAAATTCCTTTGTTTAGTTTCCTCCCTGACCATGACCAATAACAACTTGCAACTAACGACAAACATTAAATAATGTTTAATTATTTAAATAATGACAAACATCTACAACCCACTGAACTACCCACTCCACCTCTTGGGAATATGGCCATTATGTTCCTAAAATTACTCCCTGTTTTCTGCGGGTGATCGCATTTCTAGGGGACCTTAGAAAATGGGGATAATGGTCAAGTCCTGGGAGAGCTAGCTGTATTATTTGTTGTCTAGTCTCTATGTGATGGGAAAGTATAGGGATTATCTGAAGTCCTGACTAGAGTAGTCCGTGAAGCTAGAAAATGTCAGTTATCAGCTGAGATGCTAGCTTCTCATTATCTTCATTGGTGTCTTGTCCTTTATTTCTGAAAACATACAAACTTTTAAATGTATCATATATATATATACATATATATGCATTAATACAAGTATAAAATACAGGGTATGTACAAATCAGCTTTCTGTTCTATGTTTGAACAGGTAAAAAATGTCTGTCAACTTTTTAAGTTCATTTGGACTGCATAATCAAACTGTAATATAAATCTCCATCCACGCCATATGAAAAGATGGCATGTAATAATCAATCATAAGCTGTAGTATGGAGGCCGTTTGTTCATTTTTTGGCTGCCCATACTCTCGAAGTAACCACACAGAAGCTGTATCAATTAAATCACTGCTTGACCAATTACTTAAACATATTGCTAGCTAGCTCTTACATCTAGAATTAACCCATTTCCATTATTTTATATATTACC